TGCTAGCTATAGTTATGAAACACCTATTCATCCACATATGTGAACCTAGTGATTCAGTGAAAGTGAAAGTCAAACCTCAGTATGTTTAGTCGACAGTGTGAACTCTTCAGTCCATCAGAGAGCAGCTTCACTATGTTCAGTCGACAGTGTGAACTCTTCAGTCCATCAGAGAGCAGCTTCACTCCTGAATCCTGCAGGTGATTGTTACTCAGGTCCAGCTCTGTCAGATGAGAGTTTGATGATTGTAGAGCAGAAGACACAGTTTCACAGCATGCTTCATCAAGACCACAGCCATCAAATCTGACAAAACAGAATGTTTAACCAGATTATTTTCTGATGTTCAGTGATTCTGCAATAATTTATTATACCCTTCATAATCCAGAAAGGAAAATATTTCACATAGTATTTTGACATTTAATTGTTTAGTGATGTAGAACAAAACATTTAATTAAACCACAGTCAGTGAAATTACTCACAAGGCTTTTCTGCAGCATCTCACAGCTGGAACGAGTCTCTTGTGGTCTGCTTGTTTTGACGTGAACCTCTTTGGACTGAACTCATCCAGCACCTTCTCTGACATCAGCAGTATGTAGGTCAACACTGTGCACATTGAAGATGAGAGGTCTCTTCCTGGATGTGCATCTGAACGGAGGTAACTCTGGATTTCCTCATATAATGAATGATCCTTGAGCTCAAGTAAGCAGTAAAAAAGATTGACTAAGGCTTCATCTGAGATACCATACTTATTTTGTGCTTGTTTAATGTATTCAGTAGCTTGTCTGAGGCTCTCTGTGGTGTCTTCAGTGTGTGTGATCAGACCTTGGAGCAGGTTCTGACTGGATTCCAGTGAAATGCCCATCAGAAACCGCAGGAACAGGTCCAGATGTCCTCTCTCACTCCACCTGGCTTTATCAACAGCCTTTGACATTTCTAAAGAAGAACTGAAGCTTTTGTCTGGCTGTATTTTGTGAATCTTCAAAGAAAAACTGAAGCTCCTGCATGTTCTTGTTCAGGTAGCAGATGAACACATGCACTGCAGCGAGAAACTCTTGAACACTCAGATGCACAAAGCAGAAGACCTTTGTCTTATAAAGTCCATCTTCCTTCTTAAAGATCTCAGCGATCATTCCTGTGAACTCAGTGTCTTTACTCACATTAATACCACATTCTTTCAGATCCTTCTCAGAGAACATAATGTTTTCCTTCTTCAGCTGTTCAAACGCTAGCTTGGCTAACTT